ATTTAAAGAAAACAAATTAGAGACTGAATGGGATATTATCAAAGACTGATTTTTTGTCTTTGATACTTTGATGTATTAGGGACTAAATTTCAGTCCTAGATACATAAAAAATCGACTATCTAGGACTATGTATTAGAGACTAGCTAAATCAATCCCCGATTCGCATCAGATACTGATTATTGACCATTAGAGACTTATTATGTCAGTCTCTGATACCCCTTTTTCTTGTAGTGTGTGTGTGTGTGTGTGTATATATATATATATATATATATATACACACACAACAACAACAACAACAACAACAACAACAACAACAGTATTATCACAACATAAAAAATGCACGTCCGAATGACAATGTCTGCTTGGTATGTTTTAAAAGATGTATTGCATTTCTAATATATATATATATATATATATATATATATATATATATATATATATATATATATATATATATATATAGAGAGAGAGAGAGAGAGAGTTTGTAATAAGAAATTTGCAAACTCCAACCATAATGAAAATACATGATGTCTCTTTTTTTGTGGATTCGGGCGATCTGGTTATCCCTAATGGTATCATTTGGGTTTGTTGTATTCTTTTTGGATATCGATATTATAGCCGATGGTTTGTTGCAACTTGCAAGTTTAGTCTCTTGAGCAATCATTCGTGAGTCGTCATTAGCTTCAAATAGGAACCAAGGGCCTGGTTCACCTTAAAAATATACAACTTATTTGACAAATATACGATCTACAAATATATTTGTAACATCCCAAAATTCAAGACCAAAAATTTTCATTTTAAAATAGCGATTCATAAAACAATTTATAAAAACATCATCAAGTAATTCATTTCATAAAAACCATAGATCAAGTGTCTCAAAACCATATCATAATAATATCAGAGTACAAATCCCAATAATCTTATGTGCGGAAATCTTGTGTGTGATGCACTGCTACCGTGTCGGCTCCTTTCCCTTTGAAGAAGAAGGACCTGAAACAAAACTGAAAACCGTAAGCACAAAGCTTAGTGAGTTCCCCCCATCATACCACATACCATACTATAAACATACTGCCAGACATATATGGGTGCCCGACCTACCCTGCTGAGCATACCGGGGTGCTCAACCTACCCTGCTGAGCATACCGGGGTGCTCAACCTACCCTTGCTAGGCATACCGGGGTGCCTAACCTACCCCTGTCAGACATACCGGGGTGTCCGACCTACCCCTCTGGTTTATTTCAACCGGTTACGGGGACTATTTCACCCTCTACTACTACCATATAACAACATAACATAATCATATTGTCAGGCATACCGGGGTGCCCGACCAACCCCTTTGGTCCTTTCGACTGATACAAGGACTATTCCCCCTACTACCACTATCACATAACATCATACCATACTAGCACATAACATAACAGATAGTGGCATGCTAGACAATTATCACAAAGACAATCATCTAACAGACAACTCCTACTAGTGGGTCGGCATTGTGGCCTTAGACCTACTTCTACTGGAAGGTAACTAACCTCATAAAGCTGAATGTCGAATATCACTGGAAGGAATCTCTACAGCTGCTCCGATGACTCCCCGGCTACCATAACAACACTTAGTTAAAATCCATAATACTTCTTAGGGTAAAATGACCATTTTACCCCTTGGTCTAATATGAACCATACCCAAGGCCCATTTCCATCTTATTCTTCCCAGCCCACTATTGGCCCACTAAAGGCCCACTAATGGCCTAATTTTCTAAATTGGGTCCAACACTTCAAATGGGTCTTTCCTTAAGCCCAAACATGTCCTTGGTCCATTATCTGAATTCTGATGGCCCATTTCGGCCCAACATCTGCTAAGCCCAAAGATTGGCCCAAACTGATGCCTAAATGTCACAAAGCCCAAGATCTGAGAGTACGCTGAGCGTACTCCTCTGTACGCTACGCGTACAGCTTGCATGGCTTGTACGTTGCGCGTACTGGCGTGTACGCCCATCGTACTACTCTGTTAAGCCATTTTCTTCAAAACTGCTTAATCTCTTAAGACACTAAGTCTAAATTATAGATCTGAGTCCAATAATCCGTCTTAACCCATAAAGTCGATTACTTGGTGGCTTGCAACCCACCAAGTGAGACCAAACTTGGAAAATAGCAACTAACTCCATGGAAATGACTCCAAACTCATGCATGGTCACAAAAGGACCTTAAAGATCAAGACTTTACTGCTTATGGGACCTGAATATCACTAATAGTGGCACCTCTTGGCCTAGAAACGAACTTGAGTCATAAAGGTCCATTCTTGGAACTAAAAAGACCCCAAAACAACACTATACTAGATCTAAGCATTCAAAGAGAAAGTTTAAAGTTTTATACCTCCAATGAGTCCCAAAAGCTGATGTTATCATGGATCTATGAGCTCAAGATACTCAAGTTCCTCTTCATTATCTTCTCCTTCCTTCTTTCAAGCTTTTAATCTCCAAACAAGCTTCACAAAACCAAAACACACACAAGAATGAGAAAGGGAGGCTATCCAGGGTTTCCGAGAATGAGGGGCTGGTAAGGAGGCTAGGGTTTGAGTCATAATGTGGTATTTATATGGCTTAAACCCTAAAAATTAGGGTTTTGGAATCTGCTCACGTACGATGCGCGTACTCCTTGGTACGCTGCGCGTACGTGCATGTGCCCCCGCATCCAATGTTTCTCTATGCCCCGCGTACACCAAGGCTACGCCCAGCGTACGTCTTATGGGCGGCCCAAGCCTTCGGCCCACTCACTACAAGTCCACTCAGTTTGGTCCTTCTATTAGCACTTAGCCCAACAATTAATTAAGAAATATTTAATAGTTATTACCTCAAGTGACGGTTGTTACAATATTAAAGTAACAAGTTATGTATTTGAAAATAGTTTCTTATCAAGTAATTAATCTTAAAAACAGTCATTGAGTTGGATGTGATTTTTATTTGTTTTTTTTTTATAATCTTAACCTTTCTTGATGGATGCATTCCTCCAATGTGCGGATGTGGTATACCACATCTTTGTTCACTTCCACAATTATTGTCACAGTGGAAGTCACTGTTAATGTTTGCTTTGAATTAATTATTTTATAATTTACTAGAAATCCGAGGCATATCTCCTTATTTGATTTGCTCATTTCCTTGTTTTCTTATGTCGACATGACCTAAATGCCGAGTTAAACATTTTCAATATGCTATACTATAAAAACTATTAAATTTAATGTTACTATATAATTTTAAGATCCAAATATATTCTGAGAATATATAAAACTATACAGTAATTTAAATCGGTTATTGAAGTAAGGGCATATCAATTAATTTTAACATATTAAAGTTCACTCAACAATAATCAATAATTAAATTCCTGATTATAATTATTGCCTTATTGGTAAAGACGAAGCTTACACTTTTAGCCCTACCCAACCCAATGGTCCCTAACTTTTTGCTATTGAAACACGACCACATGACTATCGCAGATTGACCCCACCTCAAAAATTGACTCTTGAACAACCCGACTATGTACCCATGAGGTGTCCCCCTCGCTCATAAGCATGTATTAATGTACATTTCTACATGAGATTCACGCTTGATCTATGTCTTAGATGTTATTATAAATGACTCGTATTTATTTTTTGAAAGAAAAGAAATTGTTCGACTTATGTGAAAGTGAAAATGACGTTTTCTATAAACTTCATGGATCAGGCGGAGTTGTGGATACGTACGCTTCGACTCATTACGTTCTTGTTTACGAAACTGGAAAATTACTTAATAACTGTTCTAACCAAACACATGACCCATGTGAAATGAGTTGAGAGTGAAATGAGTTGAGAATCAAACGACGTGTGATCATTAAAGAAGACTGGCCTCTTTTATTTCCTATCGTCTATCGAAAATTTGTTACCTTTTTTGTTATACAACCCAAACATACAACTGGTATAAAATACAATTGTAAATCACACAATCTGTGTGAATCCAAAAGTAAGTTGCCTTTTTTCTGCTTCTCTTCCATTTACATGATCGTATGAAATGCTAGTACAAATACACATAGTCTTTGTAACCTTCTGTTAAATATGTCCAAACTCGGTTTTTCCAACTCTTTGTTCCAAAACCGTTTTTCATCAAACTTGACCCACCCCAATCATGTTCCAAGCTTCCAATGTCCCTACTCGCATAAATAACCCAATCCAACCAATTTGCACAAAATATCCCGAAAATGATAAACATGCATGAATTTAAAGGATAAATGCAATACAATGATATAAACATAAAATGTATCTAAGGAACGAATGATTTAATATTATATCACATCAAATGTTAAAGGTTTCATTTTATTTGATATTATCCGTCTTTTTTATTTGTAACATAATTCATTTTATAACGAAAACCTATCCAACTCGACCGCTACATATATTCACGTCCATCAAATATCAATCTTGTGGAGAATAAAAATAATTTATTTACTTTTGGTTTTAAAATTAAACAGCCGACATTTACAAGACATTTCAAGTTGAATGTCGTTAGGTACTATTAATCTTTGTACCACACAAAATTGATATTTGCATCACCAACACTTTATTTTTTTTATAATTTTATTTAATTAAATTACCTATGAGGTGGTATGGCTTTTGCTCTAATTGCTCTTTCTGGTATTTAAATAAAGTAACATCTGATTTGACATATAACTTAATAACAAACTTTTGCTAATAGTCAAATATCCTAAATGCTTTTTAACATTAACAAAATTTAGATAAATTATGTATCAAAAGTGTAAAAATACAAGGCGTGGAGTGCAAAAAACTTCAAACAACATCACTAAAATAGTTATTCTCTTTTAGTGCAAAGTATGGACCAACAATTTTAAGGAGGTGGCATCATGTGTTACGATGCCTTACTATAAGATAAGAAATGGGTCCGGGTCCGGGTCAACCGATCAAGGTCATCGTCAATTAAATTCGTAATGGCCACTCTTCTTCTTCTACTCCACTCATTTTGCACCTTGTCACATGAAAATACAAAAACATCAATCCCTTTGAGGTGATCTCATAACAACACAATTCTTCCTCAATTTCACATGGAATAATTCCAAAGGACCACCACCACCACAAACTCCCTCTCATCGCCGCCATCGCCGCCACAACCACCAGTACACCACCACCAAAAAGATGGTGAAACCAACCCGAATCATGTAACCTTATCTTGAGGTTCTTATCAAACACTTTATTCTCTTTTATATAGCTAAGCTTCATGTTGTAATATTAAACAAGAAACAGAAGATCATACTATTAGATTTCATGCCTTATTTGTTATATATTATTACTTAAGTGTCAAGATTCTTTCTTTCAGGAACTCAACTCATGCCTCATAAGTCATAACATTGTGTAACGTGTTCTTACAACACGTCTAGACTAGAGTCTCTCGAACTCTTAGATCTAAAGATGGAAATAAAGCAACCAACTTTCCCAACAGTATACAACACTTTGCATGCTACAGCATCAAACAATCAAAAGATGAAAGATCGATATAAAGAATCGAGGAAAAAGAAAGAAGAAAAGAGAGATCAAGAAGAAGAACCTATGAATTTGAGGAGCTTGTCAAAGATTATGATCCCTCCACTGGGTGTTTCATATATACAAAATCATATTCCCTCAAGATCCAGCATTATCATATCACCTATGGACTCCAAATATAGGTACAATTCATATCTTAAAAAAAGCTAAATTAGTTAGTGTATAGTTTCTTAAAATAGTTGTAACCTTTTTATAGTAACAATATAAAAATAATTACAGGTATTGGCAGACATTAATGGTGGTAATGGTAATATATTCGGCTTGGACATACCCATTTGAAGTTGCGTTCCTGAAATCTTCTGCACAAACTCATAAACAACTCTACATTGCTGACTCCATCGTCGATTTTTTCTTCGCCGTCGACATTGTTTTGACTTTCATTGTTGCTTACGTTGACCCCGTCACACATCTCCTTGTTCGTGACCCTAAAAGCATCGCCACCAGGTATCTATCTATCGCATTACAATTTTGCATCCATTTCGTATTGATTCGATTCGTTTATTGGGGGAAATGAAGGTACCTATCGACATGGTTTGTGATGGATTTGGCATCGACGCTGCCGTTCGAGTTGCTATCGTACTTATTCACCGGAAAACACCGCATGGGTCTCCCGTACGTCGTCTTGGGTTTGCTCCGGTTTTGGCGTCTCCGCCGCGTGAAGCAGTTTTTTACCAGGTTAGATCGATTGTCAATCCAGAATCGTACAGTAACTTTCCATTGATGCTTACGATTACTATCGCAGGCTTGAAAAGGACATACGATTCAACTACTTCTGGGTCAGATGTGCCAGGCTTCTCTGTGTAAGTCAATCAATTACAAAATCACTACATTTTTGGATCAATAATTTCGGATTTAAGTGTAAAATTTCTTAAATGGGTGTGTTACAGGTGACTCTGTTCTTGGTACATTGTGCTGGTTGCATCTACTACTTGCTAGCAGTGTTATACCCACATGAAGGAAGAACATGGATCGGGTCAATGAACCCGAATTTCAGGGAAGCGGATCTTTACATCCTATACGTCTCCGCCATATATTGGTCTATAACCACCATGACCACCGTCGGCTACGGTGATCTCCACGCAGAGAACGCAGCAGAGATGGTGTTTATCATCTTCTACATGCTCTTCAATCTTGGCCTCACCGCCTACATTATCGGCAACATGACTAATTTAGTAGTGGAAGGCACTCGTCGCACCATGGAATTCGTAAGTCAAATTTCACATGACATTCTTCTTCTGTTTCACTCTAGAACCTGTACATGGTTTGACCAAAAAGTCAAACTGTTACAAAACTGAATCACATTTGTTCTTTTGTAGAGAAACAGCATCGAAGCAGCATCAAGTTTCGTCGGTCGGAATCGTTTGCCGAAGAGACTTAAAGAACAGATACTCGCGTACATGTGCTTGAGATTTAAAGCCGAAAGCTTGAATCAACAACAATTAATCGAGCAGCTTCCGAAAACCATATGCACAAGCATTAGACAGCATCTATTTCTACCAACGGTTGAAAAAGTCTATCTGTTCGAGGGTGTCTCCCGAGAAATTCTCTTGCTTCTGGTAACATCAACATCCCTTAATTTTGACATTTCAAGTCAAATTCTCACTTTGAAAACCCAGAATTTGCATAAATTTCGAAACTTTTCAATCTAAAATCAAGCTATTTAACTTTCAATAGGTTGCGGATATGAAGGCAGAATACATACCACCGAGAGAAGATGTAATAATACAAAACGAGGCACCTGATGACGTGTACATAATCGTATCTGGTGAAGTGGAAATTATAGAGTGTGATCCAATGGAGAAAGAACAAGTTTTGGGTGTTTTACGTTCGGGTGACATGTTTGGTGAAGTCGGCGCACTTTGCTGCAGGCCACAGTCTTACACTTACCGAACCAAAACCCTGAGCCAACTCTTGCGCCTCAAAACCACCGCTCTCATTGAAGCAATGCAGACCAAACAACCCGACAACGTCTCCATCCTCAAAAACTTTCTTCAGGTTTGCTAATGACATAATAAGTTGTATTGTACAAGACATAACATAACACAGGATGGGCATTTATTTCATAATGCAAGTGTCGTGAAATATTGATTGTGACTTTGCAGCATCACAAGAAGCTTAAAGATCTGGATTTGGATGACTTATTGTTGGAAAGTGGTGAAGAAGATGGAGATGGAGATCCAAACATGTCGATGAACTTGCTTACTATTGCAGGCACAGGAAATGCAGCTTTTCTTGATGAACTTCTCAAGGCAAGGCTTGATCCCGATATCAGCGACTCAAAAGGAAGAACCCCTTTGGTAATCTACTAATCCTTCTCTACCCAAAAACATCATAAATTTACTTCTAATGTGATTTTTCTTTTTTTTTTTAAATTTTGTTTGCATCAGCACATCGCAGCATCTAAAGGGCATGAAGAATGTGTTTTGGTTCTTCTGAAGCATGCATGTAACATACACCTCAGAGGTATGGTTGTGTAAGAATATTTGCAAGCTTTTTAGTTTGAAAATGAGGAGTTAGTTAACACTTAACATGTAAATATGAAATATGTATATTACAGATATGGAAGGTAACACTGCACTATGGGATGCCATAGCAACAAAGCACCATTCAATATTCCGAATCCTATACCATTGGGCTTCGATTTCAGACCCATGTACAGCTGGCGAGCTTCTGTGCATGGCATCAAAGAGAAACAATCTAAACGTGATGAAAGGCCTGTTGAAACACGGGCTTCTTGTAGACTCAAAGGACCACCATGGATCAACAGCTATCCAAATTGCAGTATCTGAAAACAACATTGAAATGGTAAAGCTACTCGTGATGAATGGTGCTGATGTGAATGATCACTCTCTCAAGAACAAGATTCCACCAGAAAATTTGAAGGATTTCGTGGCAAAAAGAGAGGTTGGGTACCGAATCATGATGCCGGATCAGGAGCCGGTGGTGGAAACCCGGAGAGGGGAGGAGGGTATTTTGGGAAGATCACATTCAAATGGACAATTTGTTGGTAGGGTTAGTATTTACAGAGGGCTTCCGATGGTGAGGAAGAAGAATTGTTGTACAGAGGCTGGGAAACTTATTAAGGTGCCAAGTTCGTTAATGGAGCTCAAGATTATTGCAGGTATATATATCTGTAGTTTGTGCATATGCTTTGAGGATTCTGAAAGAAATGCTATAATTAAAGTTTTGCTTTTTTATGTTTGAAGGTGAAAAGTTTGGATTTGATGCTACAAATGCAGTCGTTACAGATGAAGATGGAGCAGAGATTGATTCAGTTGAAGTGATTAGAGATAATGACAAGCTTTTTATAGGAGAAATTCCTTATGAAAACAAATAAACAAATGCGTTTCGGTTTTGGCAAGATGCATTTTATATAAATCAGTAATATAGGATAAATTTAGATGTAGATCGTGTTTGTAAGTTTCTTTTTCCATATAGGTGGAATAAGGATTTCCTTGATGTTTACACGGTCGTGTATTTTATACTTGTCTAATTGTCTCATACAAATATGTAATCCATGTAAAGTTAAAGTTAAATAGGTTTGTATCCCAGATATTCTTCATGTATTCTTCTTCATATACACAATTTGGGATAAAATTCGCAATTTAAGATACCACCAAATATCGTATGATTCTATAAGCATCCACAATAGAAGCTTTTTAAGATTTTTTTCAAACCAAAAAGATTTTAAAATTTGAAAAAAACTTGAAGGGACTTTTTAAAATCAAAGTTTTTTCAAATTGTTTGTTAAATAACAAGCTTTTCTTATGAGCTTTTTCGATGATTATGTGGATCCCAATTTTTCTCAACCCATTGCAACTAAACAGCATATAAAAACATATTATAAAACACAATTTCAAAAAACTCTACTATTATAGGAGATACATCAAGCTTTTTTCCTTATAGTTTTTTAATGAAAAAACCCCACTAAAAACATCTCATATTGTGGAAGCTCTAAATTCAGCTTTTACTAGTCATTAGGTACACCTTTACTATGATTATAATCAGTGTGATTATAAATGGTGTTAACGAATAGGAGTGGTTTTATAGCAATATCGGACCTAAGATGGTAATAGGGAAAACCACACAAAAACCCTATCTATTATACTCCACCGCTTAAAAAAAACCCTTATATTATCAATTGGTACAATTTAACCATTATTATTTCAAAAACCGTGTAATCTATCTCTTTTATCCGGTAACCCTAGGTTACCCGTTCTTGTTAGTCTACGTGGACTACATTCGTTCTCTTTTAACCTGATAGCGGTCATTCTGTAAAAAAAAACAAAAGGGAAAGCTACGTACAGGAGGGAAAGCTTCTTGGAAGTGGCGGGAAACTTGTTGCTTAATCACACGAAAAAAAAGGTAATCGATCATTTCTATCATGCTTAATCTGAACATCAAACCGTCTTTTACCCCTAGTTCTTATTTTTGTTGTTTCCATTGATTCTTCAAGGAAGCTTTAACCAAAAACTATGGCTTCAAGTTCAAATGTATTATGTGAAGTTTATACGGAGGGTGTGAATGGAACAGATGATGAGTTTGATGAAGAAGAATATGTTCCTTCTTCAATGGACAAAACAATATGGGATCCTTTTTTGAATGACTTGGTACAAGGTGAAGTGGAATTGCCTGAAATATCATCTGATGATGCTGAATTGACCCATTCAGATGAAGAATATGACCAAGGAGAGCATAAAGATCAACAAATTGGGGACCAATTTCTTGTACACAACCCTAGGATCCCTTGGAATATGATGGAACCACACTTGGGGGAAAAATACGAAAGCCCGGAACAGTTCAAGCTTTGTTTAACAAATTATGCGGTGGCTAATGGATACCAATTGAGGTTTGCCAAGTGTGATCGTTCTAGGATATTAGTACGTTGTGGCAAAAAAAAATGATGAGAATAAGTGTCCATTTAGATGTTGGGCGTCTTGGATGGGAAATGAACTAACTTGGCAAGTGAAAGCTTTGGAAAAGAAACATGTTTGTGCACGAAAATACAGCCTCGGGTCATTGATAACTCCAAGTTGTATTGCTAACCATTATCTTAGTGACCTAATTCGCAATCCCAAAACGAAAGTCAAAGAAATGAAAGCTGATTTTTTACAGAGATATTCTTTAAAGCTTAGCAAAGGTCAGTGTGAAAGGGCAAGGACCTTAGCATTTACACTAATTGATGGCAAGTTAACTGATCATTATGCTAGAATATGGGATTACGGTAATGAAGTTTTGAGATCAAACCCAGGAAGCACCGTTGAAATTGGAGTCGATGTCAATCCCGATGCAAAATATTTCAAAAGAATCTACATTTGTTTGAAGGCTTTAAAAGAAGGATGGTTGAAAGGATGTCGTAAAGTGATTGATTTAGATGGATGTTTCTTGAAAGGGAAAGTTAAAGGAGAGTTGCTAGCTGCTATTGGTCGAGATGGAAACAACCAAATTTACCCCATTGCATGGGCGGTTGTGAACGTAGAAAATAAAGATAATTGGAAGTGGTTCATTGAATTACTACAATCAGATATTGAAACAGTTCAAGGAAATGGGCTTACTTTAATATCAGATCAACATAAGGTAATTTTCTACCTAATAATGCTTATTTTGACCAATATGGATATATGTTAACAACCTTATGTCAAAACAGCCCCTATGGACATTTTGGACACTTTTTAACAAAATTTGACATATTTAAAATGACAAAACAGCCCTTATGTGAAAACAGCTCCTATTGACATTTTTTGCCATCTTTTTAACAAACTTTGACATATTTGAAATGACAAAACAGCCCTAATGTCAAAACAGCCTCTGTTGACATTTTTGGACACTTTTTTAACAAAATTTGACATATTTAAAATGACAAAACAGCTCTTATGTGAAAACAACTCCTATTGACATTTTTTGACACCTTTTTAACAAACTTTGACATATTTGAAATGACAAAACATCCCTAATGTCAAAACAGCCCCTGTTGACATTTTTGGACACTTTTTTTTTTAACAAATTTTGACATATTTAAAATGACAAAACAGCCTTTATGTCAAAACAGCCCCTATTGACATTTGTTGACACTTTTTAATTAATTTTTGTAACATATTTAAATGCAGGGTCTTCTTGAAGCCGTAAAGGAGGTGATGCCACATGCTGAGCACCGACAATGTGCCCGTCATATTTGTGCTAATTTTTACAAACGTTTCAGTGGAGAGATTTATAAAACCTTATTTTGATTTTCCAATCATATAATGTCACCATGTTTCTTTAATGGGAGATGATATATCCACTTTTCTAATTTATCCTTCCACTTAAAAAATTTTGATTTTCCAATTATACCCTTTTGTTAATTAAAAAAGTTATATGATGAAACGGCCTCCTTCCTAAATCCTAATCGGCTATCAAGAATCCGCTCGTCCATCTCTGGTCGCTGCTCCTTCATTGCAGGTGGCCGTTCGGTGCTGCTTCTTCGCCGATCTCCGGCTGCCACTCGCCAGCCTCCAACGCTGGTACTTTTCCGGTGGGCACTACTTTAGTTATTGCTGATTTCGTCTGATTAGTCATTAGGGGTCAAGAACAAAGATTAGTCATTAGTCATTAGTCATTAGGGGTCAAGAACAAAGCATCTTAAATGTTTGATTATATTGTTGATTACATTTGTTTCATCTGATTAATAAGTTTTCTTGTTCATCTTTTTTAAGGACATATTGGTAATATTGCTAATTCATCTGATAAATAAGTTTTTTGATTCATCTGATTAATAAGTATTCAGATTCATCTGGTTCATAATGTGATAATCAGCGGATTACATGTTTTTCAATATTTTCATAAGTTGTTGATTTCATTTGATTACTGAATAAGTTTTTTAAATTGGTTCATTTGATTAATCAATAAGCGTTTTAAGTTTTGAATCAAACTAGTCAGATTGGAATGAAGTGAAAATTTTACTGTTAAAAGTGATTGTTGATTCCATTTGTCATTTGATTAAAATGAATAAAACTGAATGTTAAAATTGATTAACATATTGGAATCGAGAACTCTGTATACAGACAATTGATTTTTATACACAGGAAAAAGAAATAAAAGAAATGTTATGTTGCAAGGATGCGAATCCCCGACCTGCTCCTTTGTTCGATCTTTGATTTTAGATTTCTGAAGTGGTGTTTATGAGATTTTTGTTTCTTGATCATTTTTGATTTGGGATTGCTTGTTTTCTAATAGATGAACTCAACAATAACTAAAGCAGTGGTCGGAGGTTGGCGAGTCGCGGCCTGAGAACGGCGAAGAAGCGGCTCCGATTAGGAAGGAGGCCGTTTCAGATTCTTCTTTCTTTTCTTCATATATATATTTTTTAATGAACAAAAGGGTATAATGGGAAACCAATATTTTTGTAAGTGGAAGGATAAATTAGAAAAGTGGATATATCAGCTCCCTTCTTTGATTTGGTGCTTATTGTCTAAAAATGCAATATTAAAGTCTTTCCTTATGATAGAAAGTTAAAGTTAATCTTACATATTAGTTCAATAATCAAACACATGGCCATTAAAATTTGTCATTTCTACTTGAAACCAAGCCTCAAAGTTCGTTAATTGAGCTCAACATCGCATGTCATATGAAGTCGCATGTAGCCTCACAACGAGGTAAGTTGTTATTTCTTTCCTCCATGATTTAATGATTGTTGACAAATATAATTTTGTTATGCATCTTGTTTTGTGGTCGTTGTATTTAGTTTTTTTTTTTTGGAAACAGCAAATATATATTAAAAGATAAAACCTCACATCAAGATGATGCGAGGAGGAAGTACAAAACAAAACAAGAAAGGAGAAAAGGACAAGAGAAAAGGTTACAACAGAGAAATGGACCAAGATTCAAAACTCTCCAATCCATGTTTTTAAATAAACCTCTATGTTTACACCATACGAAAGTTATTGATTTTATATTTTCCACTGTCTTCGCCTGTACGATAGGGACGTTTCTGAAAACCTTGTGGTTCCTGTCATTCCATATACACCATAATCTTCCATATAAGATCGTATTCAACATGATTCTTTTCTTTTTGCATTTAGACCACCGAGATATGAAGAGTAACATGTCTTTGACCGAATAAAATCCATCATATGAAATTTCACACCAAGATAAGATCGAGTTCATGACAATCTTCGCCACTGGGCATAATAGAAGAATGTGATCGCTCGTCTCTTCATCCAAGTTGCATGACCCACAAATGGTCGATGGCACAGGAACACCCCTAGCTTTTAACGAAACGGATGATGGAATTTTGCCAAGCTTCGCTCTCCAGATAAAGCAGAAGATTTTATTCGGTATTACTTTGCACCATTCAAATGGACTATCACAGACAATGTGACTCGCCATTTCAATCCGTTTACGTAACAATCTTACCGAAAAATGGGTATCAACCACAAAGTCAGAAGCCTAACAATCGTCATTTGGTTTCCAATATAAAATTTCCTTGGAATCAATGTTGAAATTTTTAACGCGGTTTTGATTTTGACTATATTTTTCCATACCCCCGATCTAGATCTGTTGGCAAAAGAAGCACGATGCCTTCCATCCTGGTCGTGAATGCAACGTATAACATTTGCCCAAAGTGCAGTGTGTTCGTTTTTCAATCGCCACATCCATTTAGCTAGTAGAGAAATGTTGAGACTCTTAATCGATCCAAACCCTGTACCACCCACATTTTTTGGGGCAATAAGTGTTTCCCATGCCACCCAACTGATGCTTTTCCTTTCCAGGTTGCTACTCCATATGAATATCCTCCTAATTTTCTTAAGGGTCTCAATAATACCGTTTGGAAAGGTAAAGATGGACATATAGTAGGTCGGGAGACTGCCAAGAACCGCTTTTGCTAGGGTTAATCTGCCTCCGAAGCTAAGTGTTTTTGCTTTCCACAATGAGAGTTTAGAATGAAACTTTTCGACAATTGGTCTCCAAGCATTCTTTCGGTTCATGTTTTCACCGACAGGGATACCCAGGTAAGTGAATGGCAGGGATGATGGTTCGCATCCAAGGGGAGCCGACCAGGGATGATGGTCGTTGTATTTGGTAAACAAGCTTTATGAAAAAAGAGATAATTGTACTATAGAAGGGGAAATGACATCAAATGCACAAACTTTATATGCTTGTGAACTTAAGATTTATCAATATGTTTCAAACTTAAATACTTGTGAGTAGGTAGATAGACCTAGTTTTTGGAAGTTGTTTTGCTGTTAAGTCCAAAAACAATCTAATATGTCATGTTATCCGTTGTTTTTCATCTATGGCAATTTCTGAGCATCTTTGCAAATAAATTTTGATATGTTTGCTAACAAGAATTAGACATAACAAATTCTCTTTGATCCGAAAACAATCAAATGTTTTCGTTATGTCTTAATGTTGAAAACCTAGAAAAAGACAAGAGCTCCGTTTAGAATTACGAGCAAAAACAAAAAAGTTTGTCAAATGTTTTTTTTTA